TGAATTCACCTCCCAGAGGGGAAGATTTTGTGTATGATGATTGTTTCAGCTCTTCCTCTTCTTCTTTGCGAAGGTCTCAGCCCTACAAACCAGACACCAAAGCGAATCACACCATTGCACTGTCGTGCCACCAGCCAGGGTCTCATCTCCCCAGGGAGTTTTCCAGTGCTGCTTGCTTGCTGCTTTCTTCTTGGCTTTTTTTTTTCTTTGGCTTTCAACACACTTTGGTGAAAAAATGGGTGTGAATCATTTTTCATGAGAAACTTCCATTGCAAAAAGTGCTTTTTTTAGGAACTCAGCATCTTTATAAGTGAAATGCCAGAAATCTCACAAGCTGAAGCTGAAATGTGCTGGTTGCAACATTAGGTGCTAACAGTTGGCAAAGCTTGAGTCCCAGTGGCTAAAACACCAGAGAAAATGGCAGACAGTTCCTTGGCTTTTAAATCTGGGCTGGCTCGCTTGTGTGACAGGAGGAGAGAGGGTAGGACTCGGCTCAGGCTGGTTGGCTGTGATTGACACGTTTCATGGACAGCTTTTTATGGCTCTCATCATGGTGACGTTCTGATTGCCTCCCCAGCGCTAATGAAGATCTCCTGTCATGGGCCTGCAAGGTAGGAAAATATTATTATCTCTCATTTCCAGATGAGCCTGCTCCACGTGGATGCATTTGCCTGACATCACCTGTGTGACAGTGGCAATGACATGGCCCATGAAGGTGGTGCTGGTGCTCCTGATCCCATGGTGCAGAGGTGGCTGCACGGGGCTGGGGCTGGCCCCACGATGGGTCTCAGAGGTACTCCTGAAGCCACCAAGAAACCTCTCAAGATCAGCAATATTGTTGGCTGAGAAACATGGAGCAATTGCCATGTCCACAGTTGGTTTCGTCTTGAAATCATGTCTTGAAAAATAGGTTTTGGGGAGAATTGTCAGTGGTTTTGTCTAGAACTCTGAGAATTTTTATAGGAATGCCTGCAAAAAAAATGTGCGTAACGTGGTAGTAACAGTCTCAAGAAATATGGGAGAGGAGAATTTTTATTTTTTTTTTAAAGAGTAGAAATGAATGGAGTATTTTGTGAGATTAGAAATGTTTGATGCTGGCACTAGCTTGGGGTAAGGTGGGGAGAAATGCTTTCGAAAACCATCATTTGGGATAGAACCTTTCATCTGACAGTTCAGGTCAGTCTTCAGGACACCACCACGGCTGTGACTGCTGGCTGGGCAGTTTGGCTGCCTGCCAAAATTTCGGACCCTGCAACCTCTCTCGCAGCTTGTTGGGGACATACCTGAGCACCAGGCTCGAGGGTGGGACTTCCAGTGGCGGCACCGTGCCAGACACTGCTTGCTCCTGCTTTATTGCCTGTGAGCAGCTGCAAGCTGATGACAGACACAAGTGGTTTGTAGGCAGACTTGTAGAAAGAAGTGTTTTGTAGGTCAGTGCCACGCTGGGGATGACTTGGTGGCCAGCTACTGAGATGAAGGATGATGCCTCTGCTCTGGTCCCCTTTGACCCAAGCCAAGCAGCAAGCTCAGCTTGCCCTCTGGGTGGAGAGGTGGCACATATGGATTTTGATAACTTTCTTCTGTTTAGAGGTCATTGTCCACTTTAAATATTCATGTTCTGAGGGACATTAAATAAATAATGCTGAATTTGTGAATCTGAGCGGCTTGCAACTTTTGCATTTTGTGTTTTGTTTGCAATCAAGAAGGGATGTGAGGCTGCTAAATCCAACCTGCTCTATAACTAGGAAAGGTTTTGTTGTTCAGACCCTGTTATCTGCTCGCTTTTTCTCAAAGCAGGACTGAACTGGTTTGCAGACAAGCCTTCAAAACAGGTGTCTCTGATAGCTACAGGATGGCTTCCATTTTGGGGGGGCAAATAGGAAAAAAAATAGTGTTGCAAATCAACATTTTTGTTTTGATCAACCAACAGTGCCCAACATGGATCACTGTGTGAGGTGGTGGGCACTCCCTTTGGTGTCTGCTCTGGCCCTGCTGCAGTCCCAGTGCTCTTCCATGGCTCCTGACAGAGGTCTGGGGCACTCCCCATGGGCATTCATTGTGGATCCCAATGCATTGCCTGTAGGATCTGCAATAAATGGCAGTTTGGAAGAAATCCCTGTGGCATGAGATGGAAAATAAATGGCCATCACTTCATATTTTATTTTTTCGTCTATTTGGTTGGTACCAGAATATCCCACGGTGTCTTGGGAATTGCAGTTCAGTTCAGATACTCATATTTGCAAAAGATGGTTAATGGATATGAGGTTTCAAGGTAGGAGCCTTTCAGTGACATAAGATTTATGTAGGGACAATTATTATACTTCCTCCCGCCCCCCCCGTCTGCTTCACAAAGAATATGAATCACCAGCTGAAGGCCTCCTGTTTTTGTAAATCAGCTGAAACATAACAGTGATGTTGGGAAGTTGTACTGAGTTAACTGAGCTACTTCTCAATCTCAGAGCTTTACATAACCCCTTCTTAACGCACTGTTATTTCCTTTATAGATAGACTCATAAATTACTCCTGGTACACAAAATGCGTGGGAGGCTGCCTGTTTGCACAGCATGGGACCAAGACCTGCACATTCAAATATCGGCAGACAGCTGGAACGCAATCTGTGAAAAGGCACTCAGAGCCTCCAGGTCTATTAAATACAAACTTAGAACATCTACCGAGAATTTTATATCTTGCACATTACATGTGTAATGCCAGAAAGAATAGGTGCAATACCCCCGGGACTTCGTCAATAAATGTCACAGCAGAGCATCCAAAAAATCCTTCTTCCGCGGGTGGGCGGAACGGTGTGTGCGCAGAGGCTGGGGGGACATATGTGTGGTTGTGCGTGAATGGGTGTTTGTGTATAACGATATATTTGAGTGAGGAGGATCAGCCTGTGATAGCTATATTTAATTTAGTATCCCATTTTGTGCTGAACTCTAACCACATCGAGGGAATTAGGAAATGTGCCGCTATGGGTTCTGCAGTCGCTTTGCCGCAGTCCTATAAAACCGCAATGTTTACAGAACCCAAATTGTACTTTTCTGAAGTTATTTGCTTCCTAATGTGGGGAACACCTCCAGTTGCCATATCTGCTTCCACCGGTATGTCCAATTTACACCCACAGTTTTTAGCAGATGAGGCTGTGAGATGCAGCCATTAGACTGATGGGCACAAAGGGAGGCAGGATTGAGACTGCAGAACCTCTGGTTCCGCTTCCATTTCATTGCCTTTTTTATCTTACTGCCTGAATTCTTCAAACACCTGGTTTTGAAATGTAGTCTAAGGGTCACCTCTTATCCCAAACCCTTCAGTGAACATTTATGCTGCTTTTACCTTGTGTAGCTGCACAGACTTTACTAATATATTTCAGTTTCCTGTTACCCACATCCAGTAATCAAAATCTGGAAAACTCTGGAAAAGTTTTACTTTGGCTTTAATCCAAAGGCCACCTCTTGATTAAGCTGGTTTTGATACGTTTCCAGCTGTGAATAAGGGCTAGGTATTCAAGCTAGTCATATGTCAGATTTGATTAGTAGCATAATCCATTGGGCATGGAAACAATTCACTAGCACTTCAAAGCATCTCTGGATGTTAAGGGCTTGTAGTTGTTTGCCAGGCAGGAGATGGCTGGATATACCAGGATTTTGGAAACAGAGAATCTCATGTTGAAAGAAATAATGCATCCAAGTTTTATCATCTAATCATAGAATAGTTTGTGTTGAAAAGGACATTTAAAGGTCATCTGGTCCAAACCCCCTGCAACAAGCAGGGACATCTTCAACTACCTCAGGTTGCTCAGAACCCCATCCTGACCTTGAATGTTTCCAGGGATGGGGCATCCACAGCTTCTCTGGGCAACCTGTGCCGGTGTTTCACCACCCTCATTGTAAAAAATATCTTCCTAATATCTCATCTCAATCTACCTTCTTTTGTTGTTTCTTTTAGTTCTTTTAGATATGTTGAAATGTTGTTCAGGAGCTTGTATTAGGTGAAGATAACTGCAGTGACGTGATCTGTGCTGCAGTTATTTGGAAGAATTAGGGTTAGCTAGGTTTAAGCTGTACAGAGTATAGCCAAATATCATTTTCCTGAGCATCCATGGGCAGTGCCAGGACCTGCTGTGCCAGTGGGGGATCAGACCTGAGCCCAGGACCAGAGTGCTCTGGCACCCAATTGTGCTCGACAGCGGGCACAGGCCTGAAACCATGTCATTGACACCACCCTTCTAGAACTGGGATAAAAACAGCTGAGAAAAAAATCAGATTATCTGTACTGCTCCCAAGAAGTCGGTCATCTCTGGGATATTTTTGTTCCTTTGAGGAATAAGGTTTGGTCAGGAAAGAAGAACAGAAATGTAAAAACAAATAACACTCTTGCATGTCCATTCCAAATCAAAAAGCCTCCCGTGGATTAGGTGAGGGCTGGGAGGAAAGCCTGTTCCCTTGCCAGCCTTGCTGCCTGCTCATGTGTAACATTATTTAGGTTGCACCAAGTTTTGTTGCCTTGGTGCATCCTTCAGTTGCTCAGGGATAAAAGCTCTTGCCTACAAGGCCTACCAGATGCAAGGAAAATGCTTTGGGATTTTGGAATCAGAAATGAATAAAAGACCAAATGATTATTTCTCATTGCACCGTTAAGGAATTTTAATAAAATTCGATTTAAGAGGCAGGTATTAGGTATGCTGCTGTGTAAGAACATCAATTAGCAGAAGAACAACAAGCAGTCCTACAGTTTGAGGTTGTTAGCAACTCTTGCTAGAAATATTTGGTGAAGAATTTCATGGGCATAAGTTGCCAAGAGACCTACAATTGTCTTCTTAGTTCTATTGGTAACTTTCTGTTTTTATAGCTATGGGTAAAAAAAAAAAGAAAAGATTACTGTATCTGGTTTTTAACAATCTATCCAGGGTGTGGAAAAAAACACCTTCTTACGCTTTGCCTTTCAATTCTCCAATAATAAATTAACTATCACAGTTTAAGATGCAATTGTTGTTCTTTTTCGTCTCCAGACTAATGCATCATGACACCTCGATTACAGGAAGTGTGGATGGCTTCTCCTGCCTCCTCTCTTCTAGGTAAAAGCCTGTGATCACATCAGGGGAATGTTTACCAGCTGCCTGTGCTGGATTTGCCCCATTTCTACACCAGCAGCCATGCTCAGGGTCCCCAGCTGTCCCCTGTACCAGTGGAGGGAAAAACACAGGGTACGTGTCCCTACACTACTGTCAGACCTCCCTTCTGACATCTTTGAAGATACAATGCTTCTATTTGTGCTCCTGTGTACCTGCTGTCCTTAAAAAATTTAAAAAATAAGAAGAGGGAAATTGCAAAGCCACTGGACCGAAACACAGTGGTGTGCAGTCAGAAGTCAGTGTGTCCATGTGCTACAGCCACGGATGCTGTGTTAGTGAATGGGAGAATACAACCCACAGCTGTAGTGAGAGTAATGAAATGTTTTGTGACTGAGGCTGTCTGGCCCGGTATCTGCAATAATCAAATCCTGGTAAGGCAATTTAGCAACTTGTGGGGGTTTTTTTCCAAGAGAAAACAGTTGGTTGTTCTTTTATTCCATCAGCTAGGCTGTGCATTCCGCCCGGTCCCCTCTGGCTGCTCTGCCTTGGCCGGGTTCTGCTCTCCTAAGTGCCTGCTCACCACAGCTGGACCTGCAAGGCTGGACTGCCACTGAAGCCATCCTGAGCCTCATGACTGTCTGAGTCCAAGTCCCTGAGCAGAACTGCTGAGTTTGGACACTCCCAGACAGAGGCAAAATTCCTTAGCTCATCTCCATGCAAACATGATTATTGCCATTAAATACACACTGTGATACACAGTGTCTCTGCAATGCTCCCTGATGAGCCCATGCACCAAACCTAACAGCTCCTGCTGTAGCCAAACACTGAGCTCGGCTGTGGAGGCGCCACTGCGAACTCGGCTCCCACCACTGATGAGTGGTCTGTGAAGCAGCCTAATGATTTTCTAGGGGTCTGAGATCGTGGTAACACCACGAGAGTCGCACAAAAAAAGAGAGATCTCCTTCCCTTCCCTCCCACTCCCTGCAAGGCTCATTTTGCAAACTGCAGCTGCCGAAAATGGAAAGCCAGCTAGAGCAGCACCCCTCCGGCGGGGTTATGGAACTGGGATGCTGCAACAGAAATCTGCAGGTGGAGGATGAACATGCTGGGCTTCCAAAGCACCGTGTTTCGGTGGACTTACTCTCCCATTTGTGAGACAATAGACTGAGGAGCTGGTGGCACCACTGCTACCTGGATATGGTGACAATGCCCTGTCTCCTGCCAGCACCACCGGGGACATGCGTGGCCACATCCTGCTGGTGCAGCTGGTGGCTGCCACCCTGCAGCACTCTGTGTCTGTCCCCAGGCTTGGCTCAAGACCAGGTGAGTAGCTGGTGGCCCTGGTCTTTGGGTCAGTGTACAAATCCCCTCCTGCCCCATCCAATCACTACCACCTCCTTTGTTGTTTGGTCTCTCAGGAATCTTAATGTAACCCATAATATTTAATGGGTTTGCTAGTGATAATGTAATTTTAAGTGACATAGATGTGATAAATCGCTTCCACACGTCACTGAATTCTGTTTCTAAATTTTTATGTATTTTTGATAGGCCAATTTATCCCTGCTGCAGCTCCAGCCCATGCAGTCAATGGCATTCCACTGGGGGTGAATTTTGTCTGCTATTTACAGTGTGTGCTTTTAAGCAGTGATTGGTGTGACAGTGTGATCTGTACAGCTGTCTCTCTGTATTTATTCTTTTGCCTATAAGTTTGATTTATACTAGCTTCACAAAAAAAAAAAAAGCTCATAGCTTTTCATGTGAATGACTTTAAATAACTGATTAACGATTATTATTAGCATGGCTGTAATGGAACAGGGGTTGCCAAGTTTGTAGGCTTGGCTGAGCAACTGCAGGTAAAGCTGTTGTGTGTCCCTCTCCAACTCTAAACCTTTTCTGAGGTTTCCTTTATAATTGGACAGTGCCCTCTGGGTTCAATCTGACTTGATGTGTCTGACATGAGGTTCACGGCGGAGCTGCCTGTGAGGGGGATGTCTGATGTTTGATGGCACCGTGCGGGTACCCGCCGGGAGCGAGGGGTGCTCTGCACCAGCCTGCTCCTGCTGGGGAGAGGAAAATCCACACCCCCAGATGACAGTGGTGACTTGCAGGCAGGCAGGCAGTGCTCAAGTGCTCTGCCTGAACTTGTGTTGTACTCGTCAGATTTGTTTTCATGAATTCTAAGAGCTTAAAATGGTGACTCTCCGAGGTAGAATCCTTTCATGCTTGTGTCACATGAAGAGCCCCTAAAGCTCTGTTTATAAAGCCAGCTCTCTGTGCATGACTCTGTGGCTGCAGAGAGTTCTCTCCTGCCCCTTTGGCTGCTGATTCTGCCTCAGTCTTGATTTATTTGGTGCCGCCCCAGGAATATCCCGGAGATTTTTGTGGGAATGCAGAGATGGGTTAACCCCCTCTGCTTGGCTTTGTGTTTCTTCTTTACTTCTGGACTGACAATAGCAGACTCCTGGTGGCCAGGAACACCTGCAAGTAGCAAAGCTCTGCTCCCATGTGTCTGTGTGTCCCAGGGACAGCACAGGAATGGGCTCCTTGCTGCTGAGCCCTGTCATGGAGAGCAGCACAACCAGCATTGCCTTACACTAACCTGCCCCAAGGTGTCAATCAGTATCATTCAAGCAGCAAATTCTCTCCCAAGAGAGTAGCTACTACATGGTTAACATTTTCCAGGACTGAGCCTTCTGAGATATTTATTCCAGTGTTATCCTGCTTGAACTACCACCTGTGGTACCAAATAGGAGGAAGGATGGCTACGTCAATGAGATGTTCATGTCCTGCAAGAAGAAGGAACTTGCATGCCAGGAAATGTTGTGTGTGTTTTCTTGAAGGTTTAAGTCCTGAATGTGTTTGTTTTGATGTGTTTGCAAAAGGGAAACCAGAAGCAGAACCAGAGGTGTTCCATTTTCCCCAACATCATGCAGTGCAGCCATCCAGCTAGGAGTATCCTGGCTATTTGTCAGATTTGTCCCTATCAAAGTCCTAGGAAGGGAATAATATGAAATTTTTTCTTTTTTTCTTTTTCTTTTTTTTTTTTTGGTTTTTAATAAGATGGCAGTGCTTCAAAAGTAGTAGAGGATAAGGCAAAGTCTGAGAATACAAAACATTTTTATTGTTGTTATTATTAATCACAGCTCAAGCAGACCTGCCTGAGAATCACTCTTGTTATTTTCCTCTGGTTTATGTTCCCTGAGTAGAGTTTGATTAAAAACTGTTGCATCTCATTTTGCTTGCAAGGGTTGAGGTGCTGTGTCGCTGTCACCTGTCTGCAGCTAAAATAATATGACACATCATGGAATAGGCTGGATATTTGCTACTGGTTTTGATCTTCTTCAAAATATCGTTTTCACTTTGTGTAGCTAAAGAATAGCCGGCCTCCTGCCGTTCCTATTCACTTCTTACCCTTGAATAATGAGAAAAAAATCTGCCTGCAATAAATGTTCAGCTTATGTTGGGGATTTTTCCAATACAGAAATAAAGCACTTCATGAAATAATGGTGCCATTCTCAGATAAACAGATATTTTTGCTGTTAACTTCATGAATAAGGGGTAGCAAGGAGGTCAGCTTTAGCTGAACTCATGCCAGAACTGCTTGGCCATTCAAAGTCTTTGGCCTTTCAGGCTTTTAGAGTTCTTTTTTTTTTTTTGAAAATACTTTTAACTCACACAGATTTTACTTTCTTATGTCTAAAAAGAGCAGAATTATTACAGATGTAACAGTGTGTCTGTGGTGTTTCAATAAATGTGTATTTCTCAGGGCTGATGGATTCCATGTCCCTGCAATTGGGCATTGTGTGCCAGGAGAGGCGAATGCAGGTGGGAGGGTCGGTGTGGACCTTTGTGCTATGGGATTGTTCATGTTTGTCACCAGTCTCAGTGGTGCTCAGGAAATCTTGCTGTTGAGCAGTTTGTCTCTTTCCACCCCTGGGACCCTTTTCTGCTCCCCTGCCTGCCCTGGCAATGAGGATGTGCCAGCCCAGCAGTGGCTCTGTGGACATGGGGATGCCAAGGAGGTTGCTCATGAGTACCACAGCTGTATGAAACACACACATTTGCTAGCATGACTCTGCAACCAAACATCAGCTCAACTACTTTTTATTATTAATTTCAAGCTCCAGCTGCTGCCTTGAAGCATTGTGTTTTGTCATTCTGAGAGCTGCTGCTCAGAACAAACAAAAGGGAAAGAAAAATGAAAGCAAAGCCCCTAAAACTCACTAGTAATGTAAAGTCTAGCAACGATGGCTAACCGTGTCTAATAATCCATCAGGGTGGCTCATCTGTCAGCTATGAAAATGTCATTCCTAGAAGTTTACTACAGCTTTTTAAGGCCTAAGCAGAGTTTACTGCTCATGGCAACAGCACTGTGATGGCAGTGTGTTGTGATGGTACTTTGCAGGAGCCAAGAGAAACAGCCCATACCATGCAGGAGCAGCACCAGGAGCATGGGCCAAATGTGTATCAGCCCAAAGGATAGGGCCTCCTTCAGTCCAGGCTGCAGAGGACAAAGGCAGTTAGTGTCTGGATATGTTTCTTTGACCAGAGGAAGCCAAAAAATCCAGCAGTATGGGGGTCTGTCTCCTGGCCTGAGAGTAGGACCTGCTGCAGGAGGGTCCTTGTTTCTGCTTTCACACATGGCTTGTTAGTCTCTTATTCCTGCAAAGCTTTGCTCAGTCGTCTCTGCAGTACCAGTGTCATAGTGGAGAAGACAAGGTACCTGTTGGGGAGGTGGAGAGAGCAGGGACCAGCCCTCTGGCTGGCACTGTTCTTGCCAAAAGGCAGTGAAGGACATGCAGCTCTAACCCTGCCTGTCCTCTGCCAGCACAGGCCCTTTCCTCCCCAGCTGGGCTCTACCTGGCCAAAGCAGGACAGCTGTGGTGTGGCTCCATGGGAGACAGGGGTGAGTGCACAGAGGGCACGAGGACTCCCAATGAGCCCAGGAGCTGCTGAGGTTGGTCCATCTGGAGTAAACTCATATTAAGGGCTTCACAAGCAGTAGTACGTAGCTATTTATCACCAGCAGATACTCACTCTGTGCCTCTTGCAGTGTCTAAGTCACCTTCTCCACTCTCCCTTCCAGTGACTTTCCCTTTGCCCTCAACTAATCCATCATTTGGAAGCAGCCTGTGGTGTATTTGCTGTTTTAAACTGCCGACCTTCAGGCTTTGCTCCCATGATGGCTCCCAGTCCGTGTTGATCCCTTTTCCCTTCGGAGACTGTCGATACATTCTGATTTTGAAACAGCTTCACATAAAACTGGAGGGAGGTCTCAAATCCAGATCAAGCTTAACATCCACCACCGATCCCCCACATCCACAGCCCTCCTGCAAGTGTTAAGCCATTCTTTTCACTCTGCTGCTTTGTGGGGCTAATGAATTTGCTGCTGCTATTCCCTCTGATGAGGGGATGGGAACAGTCACAGAATTGCTGTGAAAGGCTTAGAAATATATTTAAGTGGTTTGGATTTCTCTGTGAAATCTGAATTCAAATCCCCACTCTGTTAAAAAAAAAAAAAGGGGAGAAGCACCAACACTGAAGAGCAACAACTTAAAAAAAATTGTTCATAGGGAGTCTGAGGTTTTGCTGCCTTTATCTCTAGACGGGGATGTTGTAGCATTGCCTACAGAGCCTTTCTTCTCTGCATTAGGCGAGCGAGGAGATTTCATTTCATACATCATTTACAATGGAGTGCATCAAGAGCAGAGTTGGTGCATATTAACAGGGATGTGGGGAAAGAGTTGGGTTCTTTGAAAGTTTCAAAGCATCTCCACTGAGGAGGGGATCCCAGGCTGCTGATTCCCTTTCACTCTGTTGTAGAAGCTGTGTGAACCAAAAGCCCATGAAATGGAAGGAGGAGAACAAAGGCACTGAAAGGCCTGTAATGTGCCAGCATTAGTGGGAGCTGGAGTAGCACAGGGATGGTGTAGCTCTTCTATCTCTTCTTGCTCTCCTCACTGGCACCCGCCTTCCTGTATATTCACATCGGAGTGAGCACAGGGTCCTCTCTATACTTGGAAAAGGTGGTCATGCGTTGGGAGAACATGAGGAAGATGTTGTCCCCCTTCCTCTCCAGCCCATCTGACCAGCTGCTGCCCATAATCAAGCTTTCTCCATTTCCTCCCACTGTACTTTAAGCCAGGTCTTCAGATCACTACAGAATGGCCACCCAATGTATTCATTAAAAAGTGTTTTAGACAATGATTCAGTTTAAGAATCAGCATTGTATGGCCAGTCTTCACGAACGAAGATTTTGGGAAAGGTCTTTTACCTTTCAAGCCTGCGCAATGGATTTTTTAGGTGAGACACAGCCTGCGCTG